ATGACAAAAAAAAAAACACGAGCGCGCCGGGGGGGGGGGGAAGGTAAATGGAAAGAAAAGGCAAAGCCAATCTCCCACCCCACAGCCTCAAGCTTCCAGGAGAGGCATTCTATTAGCAATATAAATTACCCATGAGCATTGCTCGTGGGTATTTTCTGAGGATTGTGCTGTATTGAGGTGTAGAAGTGAGCTCGTTCCAGTAAAACCATATACACCAGAACCTGAACTGTGTACCTTTTTTAAGTTTTTGGCCCCTAGATCCTCCATACGCTTGTTGATAAATGTGTTCTAACGGTGAAAGGGAAGCCGATTTGAGAAATAGAGTTGTTGCATTTGTGTATACTTTGTAATCGTATATTATTATTTTTTTGTTTTGTTTAGTTGAACCAGTGGCTCTGTCCATCTCTCCAGGGTCTATACAGCCCCCTATCACTCCTCAGTACATCTTCTCTCCCCCTTCTTTGAGGACAAGGAGGACAACTAGAAAGGTTCCTCAAGAGCAAATAATAAAACGACCAAGGGGAAGACCTCCTAAGCATAAAGGAAGCAAAGCAGAGAAGTAAGTGGTTCTTCTGCATGGTAACACATTAATATCCCCCTAATACTAACATTAGAGGTAAGGGATAGTAGGCCATATTTCTTGGGTAATGTTTACTGTGTAATTCCTTTGCTGTTATATACTTAGAAGCTGTGCTGTTTATTTCTGTTTTCAACCTTCTTGTTATTTTTTGAGTATGTTAAATAGCAACTTTGCTATCCTTTTAAAAAAAAAACATATACAGTATAATGGAGTCATTTTGTAGTTCCTCTCCATTAAAATCTGCAAACCTGCTTTGATTTCTCGTACTGGTAATTTGAATAGAATACAGCTTCCTTGTAGCCATGACTACAGTAGGGGTGTTCTGTACAGTGTAGAACTCCAGCAGAAGTGCAGTTTCCTACACCTGGCGGCCTGCTTCACTCAGCAGTTTTTCTCATTACAACTCCAAGATTGATCATGTGACTATAGCAGGTGACCTTCAAACTGAGTAGGTGAGAGGAATTAATGTGACCAAACATGAACAGTGGCAGGACTATGCAATAAAGTTTTCAGCTTAAATCCTTGCACAGTATTTTGGATTACTAGTAGAGGTTTCCCCCCCCCCCCCCTCAACTTAGTACTGAGTGCAACAGACCCAACAGACCCAGAGTCCTACTAGTTTATCCTCAATTGGCCTGCAAATTTATTTTGTTTGCCATTGTCCAAATCCTCCTGTAGGTGGCAGTATAACCCAAAAGCATAAGACTTCCTCTGTTGCGCAATGGACACCAAGAAAAGTATTTTACAGTGAGTCCAGAAATCCTATTTTATTGCTACCAGTGACCTCATCACCAAGCAGCATAGTGATCTTGCAGGAGCAGCTGCAGTGAACTTGGTTACTTTTGAAAGTAGTCATGCCCTCAGAACTACATCTCTCAAAAGCCCTTTCCTGACACACAAAGGCTCTTGGGAGTCAAGGTAGTAGTGTTTTGCTGGGAATAAAATCAATGTATGCGAGTGGAATTACAAGTGTTGAGGGATAGGCAGAGTTCTGTAGTCCAGCAAACGGGACTCGCAATGTTGGGCTTGCAATATATAGTGCCTTTGGTACACTGAAATCCAAACCAAGCAGGAAGACCACTTTTTATTTTCTGTATACGCGGAGTTTAAGCAATAAACTTGGGGAAATCTATATTTCCACAGTAGTACCTTTTTTTATTATACTGTAGCTAGTTTACCCCTCTGGAGTTTACTTCATTGTTTTATTTAGTGTAATTTTCTTTTATAGGCCAGTAGATAAAGCAACTTGGTCACCTCCACCGGTAGAAATTCAGCTTCTTTCACCACCAGAAAGTCCAAATATTGACTCAGAAGGTGCAAAGTCAGCATCCACGGAAACCAAAGCACTGAACCAGAATCAGCAGAGAAAAACCAGGAGAAGAATAGCATCAAAGCCTGTAACACGCCGGAAGATCAGATGATTACGATTTTATTTTTTTTTAAATTCTGCATGTGTATTAACTGTAATATTAAAATATATTAAAACACCACTGGTCTCGGGGAGGATAATTTATATAAATTATTGTAAATGTTCTTAAAGGTGTAAATTTAAAAATCTACTTCACAAAAAGGGAAGAGTATTCTTCCCATGCAAAAGGTTTCTTTTTTCTATTTTGTATTAAAACTTCATACCTTTTATAAAATATGTATTATAGTTTCACGGAATGGTAAATAAAACGATTGCATTAAAATATTTTAAGTTTGAAATGTTTTTTTGTTATTTGAAAATGGGGCACGTCATCTAATCACAAATTATTTTAAAGGAGTTCTAAAGTCACAAAATACACTATCCTGTTATAACATCAGCATTGTAATAGGTAAATGTTTTATAGTTTTTGATGCAATCAAAGCTTGGGAAAAAAATCCCTTTTACTTTATGTAGTGATTGCTTACTTCTGTCTGCCCATCACTTTCATCAACTTCCTGGATTCCCAGTGTGCTTTGTATCACTTTCCCTGCTGCTTTATGTGATTAGTCTCAATTTCTCAAGACTACATATCCCATAATGCATTGCTTTGGACAAGCAAAGATAATGTTACATTGTCCAGGCAAGTGTTGCCAGGGGGACATGCTGGATGATTATAGATCCTTGGAGTCTCCCCTGAACGAGCGCATGCAGTCCCGCTACGGTGGTTCGGCTCCAACTTTTATATCGACACCTGTGGGCCTTTTGGCCCAGTGGGGTGCATATGACTGAAGGTCTTGGCCTGACAGTCACAGCGGCCCACACAGGCTGGACGGCGCCGCGACCACGGTCCTGGGGCGCGGCTTCCCCTTCGTGCTGCTAGAGTCGGCCAGTGATACTGGGGGAGTTCACTTGGTATGGGGATGTGTGGGTGGACCCTACCTGCTGAATGGCTCTCTGAATGACCAGTCCCCTGTGTGGGCGACGTGCTGTGAGTGTCCGGGTCCTGTGGCGGGGGCCACAGCTTAGTATACACTGGGCCCCTGTATCTCCCTTCCTTCCCCATACCTCATGGGTGCAGTGTGGCTTGTCAGTCAGTGTTGGCCGTCTGCTGGGCCCTCTGTGGCGTTACCGTCAGGGGAGTCCAAGGAGGAAGGGGAGCTTTCCACGGTGTCCCCTCGCCCTGATCCTGGAGGTTCTTCCCAGCCGGAGTCGTGAAGTGAGGAGGAGTCGGTGGCTTCGTTCCTGGGTCAGGAGCGTGCATTGGTCTCGGTGATGATGCGGGTGGTTAGGGAGATCCTCAAACTTGAGGACGTTCCTGATTCTTCCGCATTGCCGCCAGTTCAGGACACCTAAGTGTAGGCATTTCGCTAAGGTGTTCCCCTACATCCCTATTTTCGATGATTTCATTTAGAGAGTGGAATCAACCTACAACGTCATTCGCAGTTCCGAGATGTTTATCTGTTCGCTATCCTTTTCGAGGAGGCCTTTTTGTCTAAATGGAAGTCTCCCCCTCCGGTTTCTCGCCTGAATAAGGCTACGGTTATCCCAGTGGAGGACTCCCCGTCCTTTTGGGACCCCACCAATAGGACAGCGGAGGCGGTCTCGCGGACTATGTACTCTGGGGGGGCCCTGATGTGCCCGGTTCTGGCTTCTGCCTTGATCTCTCAGACTCTGACAGAATGGGCAAAGATGTTGCAAAACCGCAGAATTCATTAAATGTTCAAGAGCAGCTGTTGTTAAAGTGTTTAAAGACTGGACAGTCAACCGAAAATCTGGGTGTGAACGTGCGAATTGTGGCCGTCAGCGACTAGTCAATGTTAGGGCAGAACGGAGAGTGGCAAGACTGGTACAAGACAACAGAAGGGCAACAGTGCATAAAATTACTGCAGATCTTAGTCGGGGATCCTCTCAAATGATCTCTGAACGCACTGTTCGCCGTACACTGCCTCGTATGGGATATGGAACCCGAAGGCCTGTTCGAACGCCTTTTGCTGTCTGCAGTTAACAAGATAAAACATCTCTAATTCGCACAGGAACACAAGGATTGGACAGTCGAGCATTGGAAAAAAAAGTCATGTGGTCCGATGAATCACGTTTCCAGTTGCATCATGCAGAGAGAATTTGGCGGGAACAGCATGAAAGCATGCACCCCAGATGCATGAGTACAACCCTTCATGCTGGTGGGGGCAGTGTTATGGTTTGGGGCATGTTTTCCTGGCATGATTTGGGCCCTTTAATTCGTGTGGAACAACGTCTGAATAGCACAACATACCAAAGTATCGTTGCTGATCAAGTTCATCCTATCATGTTGATGACGTATCCCAATGGAGATGGCTTCTTCCAACAAGACAATGCGCCATGCCACGGTGCTCGTATTGTGCAGGAGTGGTTTCAAGAACATGAGGTAGACTTTACCTTGCTTAGGTGGCCCCCACAATCACCAGATCTCAATCCAATTGAGCATTTGTGGGATGAAGTTGAAAGAGCCATCTGGCAGCTGGTTCCACAACCATCAAATCTCACAGAACTCGACAGTGCTATTCATCAGGCATGGTGTCAGATTCCTCGCATCACATTTCAACATCTCATGGAGTCAATGCCAAGAAGAATCGCTGCAGTATTGAAGGCAAAAGGTGGCCCAACGAAGTACTGATTGGGTGGTCATAATAATCTGGCCACTCAATGTAGTACTAAGGCCCAAGTTGTCCCTGGCTTGGTGGTTCAGCAATGCAGCTCTGGAATTGGAGAAGTCCTTTTTTTTTTAACTGTCTTTTGGAGGATCCTCACTATGATTTCCAGCCTGTTGGGCTGGGGATGAGTCCTGGGCACCTTGTCAGTGCAGGGGACTTTGTTGTAGGAGAAATTTCATCTCCTGAACAACATTCTAGATCCTCACTGCTTTGGAATGGCCCAGGAAGATGTAGTACTTCGGCCTGTTAAGACATCTGGCAGACACTCATCAGATTGGTCTTCTGTCTTAAGGACCAACTTACCATCCTGCTTTACAGTCGCTTTACTAACCACCTTAAGCCCAGGTTCAGAGAGATATTGGCATCTCTGAATCAATGATTCCCATGATGCTTAAATCTAGGAAATTTCTTTTAGGGTCTGTCATCGTCTAGCATACTTGACCATAACCTCAGGAGATTATTTGCGGAATTATTCCTCTCCTTCTTACAGGTGGGTCTGGATCAGTGTTTGGCTCTCAGCACTACCAAATGTCAGTCAGTAACACTGTGGGTTCTAAATCTCGTGTCTGTCTCTGGTTCAGATGGTGGTTTATAAAGTGCAATCATCTCTCAATTTTCACCAACATGGTCATATTCCTTTTTGCTATCACCTCTGTGAAGTGCGTGTCTAAACTGGCAGCCTTATTGTGCAGTAAGGCTAGGGTCGCACAATATGTTTTCATGCCAGTGATATTTAACCAGTTTTAATATGCAAGTCAGATGTTGAATTTGTATAATCAAATTCTTCTTATGAAACTCCCTTGTCACCAAGAGTGTAACTAAAGTAAAAGTAGACAATGTGACTTCTATAGGGGTCAGAGCTGTGTGGCTTCATGGTGACGGTAGCAATAGCATTTGGATGAAATCATGTATAGGAAGTTAAGGAACCTGTATACTTCTGTGTCACCCGTGGAATTGCTTTTGAGATGGAAATTAGAGAGACTCTCTATGTAACCATTATGCATGATTCCACCTAGTGATGTCCCCATACCGATACCGGGCATTTTCACAAGTACATGCCCTGATACTAAAGGCCCTTTAAATTTGTGGAGACCTCTTACAGCCTGCTGGTGACCTGACAGTAGCTGTCTTTGGTAGTGACTGTCCAGTCCCATATCTCCTCCTCCTTCCCAAGACTGGCAGAGCCAAGGACAGCCCCACATCGCACATACAGCCTCAGAGCCGGCACCCTCTTGTTCAGCCCAGCACCTGCCCTGGAGAGACCCACATGCGGCCCTGGTGACACCTATACAAAGCCTGGTGAGATCTGTACGCAGCTTTGGTGAGAAACTGCCCTAAAATCATTAGTCTGTATTGTTTTAGAAAAAAATATTACATGTCCCTTTAAGAAAAAGTATTGGTAATTGGTATCAGCAAGTACCTGAGGGAAAGTACTTGGTCTTGAAAAAGTGGTATCAGGACATCCCTAGTTTCACCCCTTCTTACCCTAGGCCAGTGGTGGCGAACCTATGGCATGCGAGCCCAGGTTCAGGCCACAAAACATTAAGGAGAAGGACGGAGCGGCAGGGGGTGGAGACAGAGGGAGATGTGGGAGGAGATTTGAGAGGACGGGAGGAGCCGGGGGACTGAGCGGCATGAGACGGCTGGAAACAGAGTGAGATCGAGGCGGAGATGAGAGGACGTGAGGGGACGGAGCGGCAAAGGCAGAGACCGCGATGGAGGAGGCGTCGCCAAGGAGCCAGTCGAGACTGACAGAGAAAGTACAGCTGTTGTGCTTGTAAGAACATTAATATCAATTTTTATTTTTTTACTGCATAAATTAACTCTTACTTCCTAGCACTGGGTGCATGAAAAGTCGATTTCGATGACACAACAGGATACTGAGGTCCTCTTTACTGAGATGATGTATTCACTAGTAATGAGAGGTTACTGACAGGGCACCAGAGATTATGCAGCAATCAGGAACAGATAAGAATAGCTATATGACTTGCTTGAACTTGTCCTCATAAATATATCAATGTCAGAGTACAGTATAATAAGCTCAGGAGACCTTTCAGGATATTAAATTTTTATAGCTCCGAATAAGTTTACACGACATTGTTAAATAATGAAAGAATTCAACTTTGGTTGATGTAAATAATTTTTTTTCCATGTTTTATTTTGTTCATTTTTATATTTTGCCACCATGTTGTGTTGCATTTTTAAAAGACCATGGAATCATTTACAACAGTTCCTCCACAGTAAGGGTCTAACAATCTGAAATTCTGACCACAAAAATACGCATTGGATGGTCACTTTTGGTGTAAGCCATTCAACATACCAGTTTGTAAGCGTTATGTGCAGTTTTTTAACCCCATGGAATTTTCTAGATTTTTGCATGCATACCTCCTACAATGTGATATGCTCTTTAACTCCTTCCCAACCGATGATGGGATTATCCCGTCATGATCGTTCA